TTGTTCCCCCCACATCTACATGCATTTGTTCCCCCACGTCTTCATGCACGTGTTCCCCCCATGTCTACATGCAATTTTCCCCCCACATCTGCATGCACTTGTTCCCCCCACATCTACATGCATTTGTTCCCCCCACATCTACATGCACATGTTCCCCCCACATCTGCATGCACTTGTTTCCCCATGTCTACATGCACGTGTTCCCCCCATGTCTACATGCATGTGTTCCCCCCATGTCTTCATGCACTTGTTCCCCCCACATCTTCTTGCACTTGTTCCCCCCATGTCTACATGCACGTGTTCTCCCATGTCTACATGCAATTGTTCCCCCACATCTGCATGCACTTGTTCCCCCCACATCTACATGCATTTGTTCCCCCCATGTCTACATGCACATGTTCCCCCCACATCTGCATGCACTTGTTTCCCCATGTCTACATGCACGTGTTCCCCCCATGTCTACATGCACTTCCCCCCCCACATCTGCATGCACTTGTTCCTACCACATCTACATGCACTTCTTCCCCCTACATCTACATGCAATTGTTCACCCCACATCTGCATGCACTTGTTCCCCCCATGTCTACATGCATGTGTTCCCCCCCATGTCTACATGCACTTGTTCCCCACATATCATGTCCACACCTGATCCTGATTTGGAACTGAGCAGTGGCAAAGTGGTCTCAGGTCTTTTCATCCAGTGTCTCCCAGGTCCCTCCAGATCCTCTTTCCTTACACCAGCACTCCTAAGACTTTCAGCCACTCTTTCTCCCATTCTGACTTGAAACCACAGCAGTCCTCACTCTCCCACCCTCTTTTCCAGGTTAATAGGTCCTTGATCTCCACTTAGAGATGGGCACCTTCTCTGGTTTTACTTTTGTGAGTGAAGTCTCAGATCTCTTGTGTTACCTGAGCTCCTTTTTCCCCGGTAATTTTCTTCTGAATCTGATTTCCTCCAGGTCTCAGTGCGGTTTATTTTCCTGAATTCTAGAAATGGAAAAGAAAGAGGGAGGACCCCCCACTTCTGAAAATGAGAGCTTTGTCTTTGAGTGAAAGTAGCATTATTGTAAAAGTTTCCAGGGACAGAAATATAAGATGGGGACATCGTAACCAATAAACGTATGATGTAGACAGCAAGGGCTGGTCTCTGGAGCAGGCAGACCTCCTACAGGGCACGAGGTGGTCTCTGTCTCCTGCATCCGTCAGTCATAACCTCTAAAATCGCAATGTGAGCCATTCACTGCTCTGGACTCATTGCTGTCTGAGCATTCTCTAGATGGCAAGTCTGGGAGCACTGAATCTTAAGCTGTGAGATGCAAGTGCTTCTCACTTTTTCTTTCCATTTGTTTTTCCTCTTGTCAAACATCATGTATTGAGTTTAACCAAGTGTCATCACTGTGCTCACTCAATATTTCATACACATGTGTCTAACTTAAACTCAGTAGTGAAAGACACAGGGGAACTGAGCAGGAAGGCCATCTGTGATGTACTGGTAAATGCTTAACAACCAGCTCTATGGGGAAAAATCCGCCCTGATTTGTTGTTGACCGATTTCTGTGATGTCAATGTTCTCACCCCAGAGTCTCAGAATCGGCTCTCTGAGTAGCCCCTTCCTCTCCAGTGCTCTGCTCTGTGCCCTCCCTGGACCCCAGCTCTGTCTTTTCATCTCATGGGGACTGCTGGGCCCATCTGGGCTCCCCCTTCCAGAGCTGCATTCTGTCCCCAGCAGTACCTGGAGGCCATCACGGGGCCCATCTCATTTGTTGCCTCTCTCTGAAAGATTCCTTTGCATCTTTCCTGATGTCCAATGACTGAAAACTGTTGCTTCGTACGTTTTTCAGACTTTTCAGGCAGGAGGGTGTCTGGTTCTTGTTACCCCAAAGTTACTAGAAATAGAAGTCTTTCCTTGTGACCCCACTTTGATCACTTATTAAATCATTATCTCTAGCCCTGGCTGGTGTGGCTCAGTTTGGTTGAGCATCATCCCATGCACCAAAAAGTTGCCGGTTCAATTTCCAGTCAGGGCACATGCTCAGGTTTCAGGCTCAATCCCCAGTCAGGGGTATGCAGGAAGCAGCCAATCGATGTCTCTCTCTCTCTCTCCCTTTGCCTTCCTCTCTCTCTAAAATCAATAAAAACATATTTTTTAAAAAATTCTTATATATAATAGCACCTATTTCTGGTCCATTAAGCTGACTCCCAAACATTAGTACCATACTGTGTTAATTCCTAAGACACTGTCATAATATATTATATATCTTAAAGGATTAATAAGATATATAATTACCTCCGTCCTTCAAACGTATTTATTTCTCTAGATGAACCTCAGAATCACTGTATAAAGTTCTCCCCAACCCAACACTCAAGTCCCTGACAAATTTTTGGTCACAGTTTTATTATAATTCCATCAAACGTATACATTCGTTGCAGAAAATTTGGCAGCTTTACAATGTAAATCTTTCTCTCTAGAAACATGACATATTTCTCTATTTGTCAAATCTCCAGGTCACACAATTAAGGTTATTTGCTTTCTTGGATTTCATTTCCTTGCATGTTTTCTAATTAATGACGTTAGCTTATTTAGGTTGATATGTTAGGTTAATAAATGTAATTGACTTTGTGTCCATTTTCTCAAATGTTTTTTTTAGGTTTTTATGGATGGGAGGTTCTAGGTATGCTATCTTATCATCTGTAAATAATATATTTTCTATGGCTCCATGTATATATTTTTACGGCTTTATATCTGAAATTAACCTGAGTTTCCAAATTAACAATATATAATAACAGAGACAGTGAGACTCCTTGTTCAGGTTGTGCTTGAAATAGAAATTCTGACTATTAATAATCAGCAAATAAACATTGAAACTGAACATTTTAGAATTAGGGGCACGTACTTAAATTGAAATGAAGAATGTGACTTACTTGTTAATATTTTGGAAATATTTTCCTCTATATGTTCTCTGCTTTTGGACAGCTTCGCCCTTCTCAGCGCTTGCCTGATTTGCCAATGTTTTGGAGACAGTTTCAGCAGAAAAAGTCCATATTTAATGTACTCTCTAAGGAGGAATTCTGTTTTTGATATTTCACTACTCAAAGGAAACAAAAATATAATTAGATAGATCTGTGTGAAAGCGTGTTCACTGTTTATAAAAAGATTTTACAAAGTTCATTGTCTTGATTATATATTGACTTAACAAAAATTCTAAGTATGGCCATAAAAATAGGAGCATCAATAAAATATGAGATAAGAAGAAATAACCAGTAGGAAATTTATTTAAATAGCACATGCCCCAGGATATGCACAGGTAGGGTAGACTGATGATAGCTTTACTCTACTTATTTTTTTCCAAGGGAAATGTTGTATTACATGTTAGACATAGGGAGAAATTAGAAGGTAGCAAAAGATGGTACTTGTGTGAGGAGAACAAAGGACACTAACACTGAATGAGCACCTACTATGTACTGGGCAATACTCAGGACATGCTACAGATACAATTTCATCCTCAGTACAGCCATAATAAAACCCTAATATGCAAATTGACTGAACAGTGGAACAACTGGTTGCTATGACGTGCACTGACCATCAGGGGGCAGATGCTCAATGCAGGAGCTCATGGCTGGCAAGCACAGTGGCGATGGCGGGAGCTTCTCCCACCTCTGCTTTAGGCGGGCAGTAAAGAGTGAGGGGTCCTGGACTGCGAGAGCCCCAGACTGCAAGAGGGATGTCTGACTACTGGCTTAGGCCCCATCCCCAGCAGGCAGACATCCCTCGAGGGGTCCTGGACTGCAAGAGTGCATGAATTTTGTGCACTGGGCCTCCACCCTTATCCTTCTAAGCCTTCCTTATTCACACATACACACTCTTCAATACCCTTATCGATATTACTCCTATATCAGTATCTTCAGCTTCAGTACTTCTTTGGGACAGAAGCATCCTAAAGCCCTGGTGTGTGAGTGATATTCAAGAGTCAAACCTGGATGTTTTCACCCTGGCCGCTGTAGCTCAGTTGGTTGGGCATCTACCCGCGCACCAAAAGGTTGCTGGTTCAATTCCCAGTCAGGGCACATAACTTGGGTTGCAGGCTCAGTCCCAGTAGGAGGTGTGCAGGAGGCAGCCAATCAATGATTTGCTTTCACATAGATGTTTCTCTCTCTCCCTCTCCCTTCTTCTCTCTCTAAAAAAATTTTAAAAACAAACAAACAAACAAAAGTCCTGGATGTTTTCTTCTGTAGTCAAGTGTATCTTACTTGATTTATGTTAAATATCTAACGAAGCTCATGGATCACCAATCACAAAGTGATGGGAGTCCCTTATTATACCACCACTTAGCCTCCCAGGTGTGCGACAAAGAATAGAGCTCGCCTGGCAGCTTGGCTCAGTGGTTAGAATCTACCTATCACCAGGAGGTCAAGGTTCGATTGGGCACATGCCTGGGTTGCGGGCTCAATCTCCAGTAGGAGGTGTGCAGGTGACAGCCATGTTTCTAATTCTCTCTCCCTCTCTCTTCCTCTCTCTCCCTTCTCCCTTCCTCTCTGAAATCTATAAAAATACATCATATATATATATATATATTTTAAAGAACAGAGCTAATTTTGGCTAGAATTGCCCAGCTTCCAAGCAAAAGCTTCAGAGCCAGCCCCCTTTCCCTTTGTAAACAAATTTCCAGCTCTCCCTGCAGAGGAGGGCCTCTGCGTGCCATAGAGAAGGAAATAGATAGCAGGCACTTGCATCCCTGGCTCTGCTACCAGCTAGTTTTGCGTTACCTTCTGCACCTTGCTGAGATGATGAGACTTGAAAACAATCAGCCAGTTCGCTTCAGAAGGGCCACTGTGCATAAATACAGTACTTTATTCAACCACAGGCTGCTACTCTAGTTCTATAAATAGACAGAGCGAAGGAGAGAAGGGAATTCTCCCCCTTGGGAGCGCCATCAACTAGCTCCTAACACAGATGAGGCTACTGTGGCCAGAATGTGTTTGAAACATACATTTTGTTAGAAACAACTGGTTTCAAAGAAGCTGCCCTCCAGGCCATTTGCTGCATTTTAGACAAGCTGTTGTCCTACTCCCCAAAAAGCTGGGACATAAGTTTAAGTCTAGGACCTGGTTGTGGAGCAGTGCTAACCATTCTCAAAAAAAAAAAGAGAGAGACATATCTAATACTCTTTGTAACACTTTAAGCAATAAAACAATAACAAAAATTTAAAAAAAGAAAAGAAAAAAGTTCTAGCGTGCTTTGATTCCAAGACTACAGAATCTCCTGAATCATTGAAATTACTGCCCAAGGATGATGACAGAAGGAAGCTTCTTTAAGATATTTAAAATGAGATCTATGTGACCATGGAAGAAAGCATCCAGGTTTGAAAAAACTAAATACTGAGAGTGTGGCAGGTGGTATCATAATTTTATCTCAATTCCTTGGTGGTTTTTTTGGTCACTATGATCTTGGTTTTTAATATCAATGCTAGGTTCATCTAAGTGTGAGGATAAATATACAAAATACTGCCAATTGTCATTGTAACATATTGTAAAATGAATCCCCATGGCGGAAATGTGAAAATGTGTGAAGAAATGCACCTTAGATTGAAAGAGAAAGGACACTTAGAAAATAATTTGTTTACTCCTAACATTGGTTTTCTTCTTTTCAAAGAATTTCTTGGCTTCTGTATTGACAAGTTAGAGAAAGGTTTCCGCCAGAGATCACTGTACTCTCCTGACACACAGTCAGAGACGATCCGCAATCAACTGATTACTCATTTTAAAAATGTGGTCAAGTGTATGAAATCATCACTGACAAGAGTTCTTCCCACTCAGGTCTTGCTGGGCACAAACAGGACTGAATGGGCTGTGAACACTCGATAGGAAAAAGCTGGTGTGCGGCCTCACCTTTTCACCGCCTGCACCTCCATGGTCGCTTTCTTGAGCTCTGCCGTCATTTGGAGTTTGTTTATAGTTTCTTGTGCTGCACTGAGAAGGAACACATTTGTTAGTTTGTTTTGTGTTGTGTCCTGAGAAATGGAAAAGAAGAAAGAGGGAGGCAGAAAGCGATGTGGCTAGAGTGAAAACACGAACATTTTAAGGGCGTTTATGGATCTCTGGTCGTTTTCTCGAAGGAACTCTTCAAAGGCAATGGCGTCTTCTTGGAGCTTTATTTCTGCTCTGTTGATTTGCCGTTCCTTCGTCATTATGTGCTTATCATACCTGGTGATTGTATTCCTTTTGTTTGACACAGCATACTGGGAATAGTGGAAACAGAAGTGCGTCGGGAGCAGTATTCACATTTCTGGCACACGTCAACAGTCTCATAAGAGAGGGGGAAATAACTTGCATTCTAAGTGGGCATTTGGGTTAGAAAGAATGGGATGCCCACATGGTGGGGCGATGGCCTTTATTTGGGAGATCATAGAAGGGAGACTAATTCTTTTCTCACTTTTATGAAGAGGCTCCATATTGCTCCAAAATGGCTGGGCCCCATGAATAAAAAATAGCTACATATTGCCCCAAAGAGCAGGCCCACCTGGTGTTACCCACAGTGTCCTTCCTACTCTCTCTGAGCATTGGAAACCGGGCTGTCTGCAGCCTCAAGGCTCCTCCCACAGGAAGCACCAAGGGAGAATCAGGTTCCTCTAAGCAAGAGTGGCGGCGCTCAACCTCAAAGAGCCCCATTCAGATCCCCGGATCTAACTTTGACATCACGCTTCTATTTTTAAAAAAATATATTTTATTAATTTTTTACAGAGAGGAAGGGAGAGGGATAGAGAGTTAGAAACATCGATGAGAGAGAAACATCGATCAGTTGCTTCCTGCACACCCCCTACTGGGGATGTGCTTGCAACCAAGGTACATGCCCTTGACCGGAATCGAACCTGGGACTCTTCAGTCTGCAGGCCGACGCTCTATCCACTGAGCCAAGCCCGTTAGGGCGATGCTTCTATTTTTTTAAGTACAGAATAGAAGGATCCAGTTGGGCTTTTAATGCCATGCATGGAAAGAAAACTATAAATAAACAAAGCCACATACATTATAATATAAATTAACTAAAACTATGTAAATGAAATAATTTTAAAGAAACATAACCAATAATTAGATACTCCATCTTTATAAAAAAAAACATATTTCATTTATTACTTTTTTCACCAAGTATTGAGTGACTACTGCATGCCAGGACTCTTTTCAGTGGTGTTAGTAGAGCAATGAACAAAATTGATAAAATTGCTTTTGCGGGGCATACATTCCAGGAGATGGGGGGAGTCTATTAAAGGGGATGAGGAGTCCAGTGGGTAAGGGCAGGGGTTGCCATTATGTACTAATATAGCCAAAGAAAGCCTCCCTGATATGGTGAAAATTAAACAGAGACTGGAAGGAAGTAGAACAAATCATGCAGACATTGGAGGAAGGAATGTTCTCCCAGAAGGAAGAGCCTCTGTGGTAAGGCCCTGAGGCCACAGCATGGTTGATGTGTCCCAGGAACAGCAAGGAGGCCCGTGTGTTTGGAGCAGAGGGAGCAAAAGAGAAATGAGATGAGATGAGAGAGAGAGAGAGAGAGGGACACCAGATAAGTTGTTCATGGTCTTCAGCAGAGGAGGGGTGTGGGTGAGAATAGACTTCTAATGCTGTGTGGAGAACAGACTGACCATAGGGGGCGAAAAGTGGAAGCAGGAGACCAGTGTTTTGAAATTATAAGAATTCATGCAAGAGATATTGGTGCTATGGACGACAGTGGCAGCAGTGGTGTGTGATCATGGATATATTCAGAAGCAAATATGTAAAAGTATATTTGGGTATGGGCTGTAAGGAGGTGGAGTTGAGGATAATGCCACTATATTGGGCCTAAGCAGCTGCAGCGGTGGAATTGCTGTTTACGAGACAGGGAGCACCACATGAGATGCAGATTTTCAAGGACAGCGAAGGGTATAGCAGGGGCCACAGTTTAGAAATGTGGCGTCTGAGCTGCCTGGTGAGCATCTACTAGTAAGTGGAGATATTAAGAACTACTCACAAGTTGCATTTGTGAGTCTGAAATTCAGGGAAGAGGGTCAGGCTGGAGAAATACATTGGAAGTTGCTAATATGGAAGTGGAATTTAAACTGGGGCCTGGAGGAGGGTAGATGGAGCATAGAGTGAGAAGTGAGCACTGGACCCTCCCAACATTTAGAGATCAAGATGGAGAGGAACAAGGAAAGAATACTGTGAAGGAGTGAGCAGCCAATGACCTGGAAGAACCAAGAGACCCCAGCTGAAGAAAGTGTTTAGTGATCCAATGGGCCACAATTCAAATTGGGCAGTAGAACGGTCATTGGCAACGATGACAAAAGTGGTTTTGGTGGAATGATGACGGCCAAAGCCTGACTGAAGTGGGCTTAGGAGAGGTTAGGAAGGGCAATAGTTCTGGGCATGTGATGGAAAAATAAAAGGCCGAGGTGAACATTTGGCAATGTTATGCAACAAGTCTTCTATTTGACGATGGGGAGAAAAATCACTTGTACTACCTGGAGCAGAAACCTGTCTCTCTGGTCATTAATAAATTCATGGAGAGACCTTCTTGTGTCTGCACCTTTAAAGAAAATTGAAATTGACTTAGGTTTAGTTCATTATCCCTCAAAGATGTATCAAATAAAAGCTATGGCAACCAAGGTACATGCCCTTGACCGGAATCGAACCTGGGACTCTTCAGTCTGCAGGCCGACGCTCTATCCACTGAGCCAAGCCCGTTAGGGCGATGCTTCTATTTTTTTAAGTACAGAATAGAAGGATCCAGTTGGGCTTTTAATGCCATGCATGGAAAGAAAACTATAAATAAACAAAGCCACATACATTATAATATAAATTAACTAAAACTATGTAAATGAAATAATTTTAAAGAAACATAACCAATAATTAGATACTCCATCTTTATAAAAAAACATATTTCATTTATTACTTTTTTCACCAAGTATTGAGTGACTACTGCATGCCAGGACTCTTTTCAGTGGTGTTAGTAGAGCAATGAACAAAATTGATAAAATTGCTTTTGCGGGGCATACATTCCAGTAGATGGGGGGAGTCTATTAAAGGGGATGAGGAGTCCAGTGGGTAAGGGCAGGGGTTGCCATTATGTACTAGTATAGCCAAAGAAAGCCTCCCTGATATGGTGAAAATTAAACAGAGACTGGAAGGAAGTAGAACAAATCATGCAGACATTGGAGGAAGGAATGTTCTCCCAGAAGGAAGAGCCTCTGTGGTAAGGCCCTGAGGCCACAGCATGGTTGATGTGTCCCAGGAACAGCAAGGAGGCCCGTGTGTTTGGAGCAGAGGGAGCAAAAGAGAAATGAGATGAGATGAGAGAGAGAGAGAGAGAGGGACACCAGATAAGTTGTTCATGGTCTTCAGCAGAGGAGGGGTGTGGGTGAGAATAGACTTCTAATGCTGTGTGGAGAACAGACTGACCATAGGGGGCGAAAAGTGGAAGCAGGAGACCAGTGTTTTGAAATTATAAGAATTCATGCAAGAGATATTGGTGCTATGGACGACAGTGGCAGCAGTGGTGTGTGATCATGGATATATTCAGAAGCAAATATGTAAAAGTATATTTGGGTATGGGCTGTAAGGAGGTGGAGTTGAGGATAATGCCACTATATTGGGCCTAAGCAGCTGCAGCGGTGGAATTGCTGTTTACGAGACAGGGAGCACCACATGAGATGCAGATTTTCAAGGACAGCGAAGGGTATAGCAGGGGCCACAGTTTAGAAATGTGGCGTCTGAGCTGCCTGGTGAGCATCTACTAGTAAGTGGAGATATTAAGAACTACTCACAAGTTGCATTTGTGAGTCTGAAATTCAGGGAAGAGGGTCAGGCTGGAGAAATACATTGGAAGTTGCTAATATGGAAGTGGAATTTAAACTGGGGCCTGGAGGAGGGTAGATGGAGCATAGAGTGAGAAGTGAGCACTGGACCCTCCCAACATTTAGAGATCAAGATGGAGAGGAACAAGGAAAGAATACTGTGAAGGAGTGAGCAGCCAATGACCTGGAAGAACCAAGAGGCCCCAGCTGAAGAAAGTGTTTAGTGATCCAATGGGCCACAATTCAAATTGGGCAGTAGAACGGTCATTGGCAACGATGACAAAAGTGGTTTTGGTGGAATGATGACGGCCAAAGCCTGACTGAAGTGGGCTTAGGAGAGGTTAGGAAGGGCAATAGTTCTGGGCATGTGATGGAAAAATAAAAGGCCGAGGTGAACATTTGGCAATGTTATGCAACAAGTCTTCTATTTGACGATGGGGAGAAAAATCACTTGTACTACCTGGAGCAGAAACCTGTCTCTCTGGTCATTAATAAATTCATGGAGAGACCTTCTTGTGTCTGCACCTTTAAAGAAAATTGAAATTGACTTAGGTTTAGTTCATTATCCCTCAAAGATGTATCAAATAAAAGCTATGCAATTAAATTATTGCATGCATTATGTATCTGGACTTAAAAATGAATTTAATAAGAGTAACTACCATTTATTTTGGGTCCATATTATTCCAGGAGTTTTCTTAGACACTTCAAGTCATCGTTTTATTTAACCCCAATAAGGTCCTATCCGCATCCTGTATGGGAGGTCCTGGAGCTCAGAGATGTAAAGATGCTTGTCCAAGATTACACAGTTGAGGAGGACTATATTTTAAATGAAAATGGCCAAATACCTTATCTGTAAAATCAGCAGAAACTGACAACCTGATTTCCATTGCTGACAGAGCCCAGATTGCCTTGGATAATACCAAACAATTTTACTATTTCCTTTCTAAAGCCTACCCTACCCCATTGACCCTTAAGTGACCAGTCGCTCTGTGAGTCATCTGCAACATCACACCTCCTAGCTGCTATCTCAGAGCTGTGAGCGTGGCAGGGATTTTTGAAGTGAGCCATTTTGTGCAGAACTCTTTCTAAAACATGTCATATGTCATTTAAAATGCTCTTGATGACTCGGGGTTCACCATGAGACTGAGGGGAACTGAAGACATGAGACACAGACTGAACCTACACCTGCCCTATCAGTGGTCCAGTCACTGACCTCACCCTGTCACCTATCGCTTGCTGCTTTTTCATACAATAGTGCAGAACACGCACCTCCGAGAGCCTCTAAATAAGTTAACATGCTTCCCTTTCTTACACTAATTATTGAATCCGAAGTTCCTTCTTAAATGGTCTTCTTGTTCTCTGAAAAAAAAATTTTTCTTCACAATTTGAGGAAGTGCCTGGACTTTGTGAGCTAGAGAAAGGTTTAAGTTATTAGAGCAAATCCTGAATACTGATTTCCCTTCCTTCCTTCCTTCCTTCCTTCCTTCCTTCCTTCCTTCCTTCCTTCCTTCCTCCTCCCTCCTGTGCCCAGCTTAATGCTTGGCACCTAACAGTGTAAATGTTGCCTGCTTCTTTTCCTTCCTTCCTTCCTTCCTTCCTTCCTTCCTTATTCCTCCCTCCCTCCTTCCCTTCCTTTCTGCCTTTTTAAATTTAAAATATTAAGTAAGATTTATTTTGGAGGAAGATTTTATCAGTCCATCACCTGGTATTAGTCACTTTAGGCTTGTAAAGCTTCAAACTGCTTTGTCTCATTTGTGGGCACTTCTTGATCTCATAGGTAGGAAATGGCCATGATGTTTTGATCCCCAGACTGCTCTCTTTCACAGACAATAATTAATAGCTTGTAGTATTTTAGCATGTTGCCTCCATAGGTCATTAAAATAGGTTATGTCTTTGCAACAAGAGGCAAGCTATTTAATTCTATTAGCTTACTGATTCTGGATATGTGAGTTGTATGGCCCAGACCATCAAAACTTCTCTTTAGAAAGACTTTTCTTAAATTCGGTTCTAGATGTAGATGTAGACCTGAACTTAAATAGTCAGAGCTATTTAACACTATTAAATAGCAAAATAGTGATTTTGGCAGTGACTTCTTTCCTTAGAGCCATGAAAATGAGTAATTGTCTATGTCTTGGGAAAGTATGCTTTCTCATTTAAAATAGATTTTTTTCTCTGGACTCAACCCTCATGTACAACCCCCACCACCGTATTAGGAGACAGCACCCTTTGTGTTTTTCACCTCCAGAAAAGCCACCAAACCTGATACCAGTGGGAAATATTCAGAACAATGTTTTTAAACCAACAATCACTTAGACTTACCTTCTGTTATTCTGACAACAAGAGTGGGATCCAGCCCATACTTTTCAAACGAGGAAGCAGCTGCATCAGCGAATGCCATTTCACTCAGGTGTGAACGACTCTTCATTCGAGATGAAAACGTCGACTTTTGGTGCAATTTCCTGCCGCGGTTCAGGTCTTTTTCCTGCCCAAGTGGGAAAATTTAAAAAGGTTTCTAACATACGAAAATAACATTGTCTTAAATTAGTGATCATATATAAAAATATCATTTGCAACAAGTCCCTTTCTCACTACTGGTACATTGAACAAGCAATCTCAAGTTCTTACCTCTGAAGAACTGTGTTTAGTTTTCAGTTCCTTCTTGCATGAAGCAGAGCACAAGTGTAAAAACATTCAACCTTTACTATAATATAAACGTGTGCATGACAAATATGAAACTGGAAAATGTTGCTCTGGCTTTTTGTGACAATCTCATGTTACCCCAAATGTAGGGACTTAAAAATTCCACTGATTTGAAAGGAATGATTCTGTGGGATTGAACATGCTATTTTTTTTAATGAGACATTAAAAAAAAATAGCCTCCTGCCCTGGCTGGTTTGGCACAGTGGATAGAGCATCGGCCTGTGGATTCAAGGGTCCCGGGTTAGATTCCGGTCAAGGGCATGTACCTTGGTTGCGGGCACATACCCGTGGGGAGTGTGCAGGAGGCAGCTGATCAATGTTTCTCTCTCATCGATGTTTCTAACTATCCCTCTCCCTTCTTCTCCGTAAAAAATCAATAAAATATATATTTTTAAAAATCTTTAAAAAAATAGACTCCTGATTTTGTGAATGTTTTTTTATTTTAAATTTTGGATAGTTTTAATCAAACGATAGAACACATGCACAAAACCATCACCCTACAGATGATCGATTATTGAGTATTCCTGGATATTTTTCTCATCCTTTATTTCTAAGAATAAGCAAAGCAAACCTCGTGAAATCTGAACCATACGATGTAAGTAGTGATAGTAACTGCAAGGCACACTGCAAAGTGAGCCTCATTGCTGATGTAGCTTCATACCAAATAATTCCAAAGTGACACCCTCTTCTCCACTCTTATTTTGTCTTTCTTCCCTGCTCCCCAATGCACACATATACAGGCTCTTATCTGTATCTGCCTGGCAGATTTTGACTTATTCTTAACAATGCTGCTTCTGTTTATCTCCTCAGTGGAATCTTTGCACGCACACACACCACCACCACCACCACCACCACCACCACCACCATCACCACCACACACCATCATCACCACCACCATCACCCATCACCACCACATACCATCATCACCACCACCACCACCATCACCACCACACACCATCATCACCACCACCACCACCACCATCACCACCACACACCATCATTACCACCACCACCATCACCACCACATACCATCATCACCACCACCACCACCACCATCACCACCACACACCATCATTACCACCACCACCATCACCACCACATACCATCATCACCACCACCACCACCACCATCACCACCACACACCATCATTACCACCACCACCATCACCACCACATACCATCATCACCACCACCACCACCATCACCACCCACCACCACCACCACCACCACCACCACCACCATCACCGCCACACATTATCATCACCACCACCACCACCTCCACCACACACCACCACCACCACCACCACCACCACGATCACCACCACACACTATCATCACCACCACCACCATCACCACCTCTCCCTCTTCTCTCCAACAGCCATTTTCTTTAGATTTCCTTTGTATGCCTCTATTACTGTATTTTATCAACTCTAAGATGCCACTTATTGTAAGATGCACTATTCTTTTATGCACTGCCAATTATGCATGACATCCCATCTATGTAAGCTGGAGCCCAATTTCAGGAATGAGAAAATGTGAAAAAATGTGGCCATTAAAATCAAGGAAATGCCCTAGCTGGGTTGGCTCAGTGAATAGAACATTGGCCTACGGACCAAGGGCCCTGAGTTTGATTCTGGTCAAGGGCACATAACTCCGTTGGAGGCTCCTTCCTGGCCCAGGGCCTGGTCAGGGCATGTGCAGGAGGTAACCAATCAATGTCTTTCTCTCACATTGATATTTCTGTCTGTCTTTCCCTCTCTCTTCCACTCTCTCTAAAAATATCCTTGGTGAAGATTAAAAAAAAAAAGTCGAAAGCATGCTTAATTGTGGGCTATGCCTTTGGCATAAATCTGGTGTTCAGACCATTACTACAGTGAAAACACCTAACATCACCTGGTGGCAATTAATCAATGTGTTTCTCTCACATCGATATTTCTCTCTGTCTTTCCCTCTCTCTTTCACTCTCTCTAAAAAAAATCAACGAAAAAATATCCTCAGGTGAGGATTTAAAATAAAAAAGAAAAGGAAAGGAAAAGGATTACACCAAACTGTTATTATTGGCAGATCAGTGATTTTCTATACAAAATAAATTTAAAAATCAAGGAAGTAGGGTATAGCCATATCTGTTACAGTGGATTGTAGTGGTGTGTCTGTCTTCCACCATAGGGGGTGATCATTAGGTCCCCACCATGGGCTGGATGCTGTTCTGTCGTGTGTGTGTGTGTGTGTGTGTGTGTGTGTGTGTGTGTGTGTACCTCCAGCACTGTGTGGTGCACGTGTCAACATCTGACCCAGAAAAGTTCATAAAAGGGATGGATAAGAGGATATGTTTCTAAAATTACCTTTTAAAATCCTAGTTGAGCTTTTAATAAAACCTTACCTTCCTCCTTGCTTCTATTTCATTTTCTTTGAAAAGAAAGAGATCTTTGAAAAAGATCTTATATGGCCTTCCCTTTTTGATCGACTGATCGGTTCCTCTATCTATTAAGAAAAAAAGAAGAAAGAAGGAAAAACTTCTGTCATCTCTCCTCTGCTAACCATCTGGCTCCCACCAACCAGGGGAGAGAGTGGGATCCATGGGAGGAAGGTCCAATCAGCCAGTCGCCTCTCAACTGGATGTGGGGCCTGGATCTGGGGAGCAGGAGCCATAGCCCATCTGTCTGTTTCCCATGGCAGTGAGCACAGTGCTTAGCGATTCACGGGGCATGAGACTATATTTGTTGTGTAAGTAGATAGGGGGCCTGCTACAGGATGGTGGGATCATATTTTGAGATATTATCATGTTGATTCTTCCCATCCCTACAAATACACCCACCATTACCCTTGCACCACTATTTCTGCCACAATAGACACATCCAATACCCTTATGGAGATCCTCAGGCTAGACCAGAGTCCTAAAAAAGTCAAAGATAACGAGTGCTGGTGAGGATGTGGAGGACTTGGACCCTCATATACTGCTGGTGGGAGTGCAAAATCGTGCAGCCACTTTGGAAAAGAGCCTGGCAGTTCCCCAAAAAGTTGAACACAGAGCTGCCATATGCTCTAACCCAGGGGTCCTCAAACTTTTTAAACAGGGGGCCAGTTCACTGTCCCTCAGACCGTTGGAGGGCCGGACTATAGTTTAAAAAAAAACTATGAACAAATTCCTATGCACACTGCACATATCTTATTTTGAAGTAAAAAAACAAAACGGGAACAAATACAATATTTGTATTTGCATGTGGCCCGCGGGCCATAGTTTGAGGACCCCTGCCTAACCATTCCCCTCCTAGCTACTAGTATATACCCAAGAGAAGTGAAAACATTTGTCCACCCAAAAATGTGTACATGAAGGTTTACAACAGTTAACTTTGCTAAATCATTCACAGTTCTTGGCAAAGAAATATAAATTCTTTAGGAAAACAGAGATTGTTCAATACATGCTATTCTACTGTTCTGAATCTTGTGTTTGTTTTAGTTAGGAATATATTTAGGAGTTCTTTTTACATCAGCATTTATATATTTTTCTCATTAAAAAGGAATAGTGCCCTGGTCAGTTTGGCTCACTGTGATAGAGCATTGGCCTGCAGACTGAATGGTCCCAGGTATGATTCCTGTCGAGGGCACATGTCCGAGTTGTGGGCTTGATCCCCAGTGTGGGGTTTGCAGGAGGCAGCCGATCAATAATTCTCTCTCATCATTGATGTTTCTATCTCTCTCTC